CGCCCTTTTAAGGGGATTTCTTTATATATCGCAGAGAAAAAAAAGTTATAAACGATAGTCCTAGTTTTAAAACGCAACGTTTTGGCCAATTTTTTTCCGATACCTTCCAATGTGAAAAAGAACGGCTCGTCTCGGGGCTGCTGAAATTCGGCAAACTCCCATAAGTAATTTGGGGGGAGGACGATGTGCCATTGATGTTCGGCAAAGGCATTGCTGATGTAATCCTCTGAGAAACGTCGTAAACGATTACTACGGTACTTACGCCTAATGAAATCATAAACAATAGTCACTGAGTCATTTTTGGGGCCTCTTTGGACGAGGGTGAGGGCGTTGGTGAAGGCAATTACATGGCCAGCGTTGCTGCAATGAATAACACTTCTACCGGGGCTTTGGCCTTACAAGGAGATGGTCTCAGCTCGACACCGAATTTCGTTTTGAAAATTTGCACACTGATAGAGCTCGACGAGACGAATCGATTGGTGTAACTTTCAGCTGCACATACTAAAAAATAGCCGAGTTATAAGCATTTTAAGTTTTTGCATACATTTTGCATTTTTTCCGCCCTACCTTCATAAGCCCTCGCCCTTCCCCCATCACCGTGGCCTGGTGACCTAGTGGCGTAGTCGGCGGCGTATGGGGAATCTATTGAAGGTTCGAACCCGCTCACGATTTTTATCTTTTGCTTTTTGGCACAAATGCTGCCATTGGCGTTCTGAAGCCCTGGAATCAGTTCGTATTCCTTATTTTAACCCTTGCAAGGCGCAGTGCCCACAATACCTCATCATCAAAAATTTTCGAACTTAACATTGGACTTCTGCACAACCTATGAACAACATTTTCAAAAAAATTGCGACAGTGAAAAACGCTTGCTGACACACAACGCATTCACCGTATGTTATATTATTGATTCTTAACTTTTTGTTCTATTTTAAATTTTTATTTTTGTTGCTGGAACAGTTAATGCCCCTTGGGGTCAAAAATCCAATTTCTGAAAAAAAAGATGTTTTATGGTCACTGCGCCTTGCAAGGGTTAAAATAAGGAATACGAACTGATTCCAGGGCTTCAGAACGCCAATGGCAGCATTTGTGCCAAAAGCAAAAAATAAAAATCGTGAGCGGGTTCGAACCTTCAATAGATTCCCCATACGCCGCCGACTACGCCACTAGGTCACCAGGCCACGGTGATGGGGGAAGGGCGAGGGCTTATGAAGGTAGGGCGGAAAAAATGCAAAATGTATGCAAAAACTTAAAATGCTTATAACTCGGCTATTTTTTAGTATGGGCAGCTGAAAGTTACACCAATCGATTCGTCTCGTCGAGCCCTATCAGTGTGCAAATTTTTAAAACGAAATTCGGTGTCGAGCTGAGACCATCTCCTTGTTAGCCTAGACCGAGACCGAAGCCTATCTAAGCTTACTAGGGAACCACGAATAAAGCCGGTCTCAGAATTGCCTCCAAATTGGACCCACTTCGAAAAATACGAACTGGCGAACGAATGCCCCGGAACTGATCCCTCATACATCATATTGAGGCAGGCGGTCGGTGGATACGCATCGAACGAACAGTCCGAGTTCAAAACTACGCCTTGGAAGTGGGGCGGGTTGTTTCGTGGCGTGGTAGTGCTGTAAAAATAACATAACTAATCGATTGCATAGCCAGGCTCGCTGGGTGTTCCCAAAAGATAATCTTCCCAATAATTTTTGGACACCCTGTGTCATTCTAATGGTCTTGTCCTACCTTATATAATTTTGGCGTGTATCTTTGTGTGTGTGTGTGGATGTCAGTTTCGAGCCCGATTCGAGGGCCTTCCCGTGTCCAAAATGCCCTAATTCTCCGTCACCCGGGGGAATCGAGCCTTCTGTTTCCAATGGCGTTCTCAGAATTTTCATAAAATACAAGTTTACAAAGTTAAAGCCGGTTTTATTCATTTTTGGGGGTCCGGGAGGGCTAATTTGCATAATGTGAAAAATAAGAAATTCCCTCATTCTTGCGAGTTGCACGCGCGCGTGTGGTCGGCGGGGGGGGGGGTCCGTAGGACCCGAGCTGTCAGAAAGTCAAATGTATCATGCAAAGGCCGCATTCCAGCGCCCAAGGCCCGCGAAGCGGGTTTTGGGCGCTGGTAAATCGAATAATTTCGTAAACCCACGTAACAAACGTCACCGCGGTGTTGGGGGCCACGCTGAATTGCTTTGGCGCCCATCCCAAATCGTCGGCCGCCTCACCCTGGGGGGACCAAGTATTCGGCGAGAATGGTGGCTGTAGCTTAGAATTTATTGAGATTGCAATTTCCCTTACGATCTTCCCATTCGACGACCTTGAAAGAGATGGCAAAGATTGATTGGTTCTCGGTTTTTGGTTTGTATTCGGCGATCAGCTGGTCTGCCTGTAATATAGAATTTTTGCTCACCACTTTTGCAGATTTTTCTGCAGAGCCGCATAAAATTCGAAGCCCCGGACCACTACAGGGTGCCCCTATATAAAACAACCTCTCTAACCCGTCGCGGAAGTCTTGGACCGGAATGATAGTTGCACCATTCGAAAGCCCCCTAGAACGGCGAGTTTGCATCATCACCACGTTTTTATCCTAGCGTGTTACTTTAGAATCTATTTAAAGAAGGTAAAGAACGGCCTTTGAACCTAATTAACGGCCACGAACGGCCATTTTGCTTTAAAAACTCGAGGGAAATTACCTCGGATACAGCTTCGAAAAACCGGTAAACCTTACAAAATTCACTGTAAAATCGCGTTTCGATAAAAACATGGTTATGAAGATGGTTGCAGCCTCGCCGCTGCACGGGCTTTCGAATGGTGTAATTATCATTCCGATCCGATAATTCTGCGTCGAGTTAGAGGGGTTTTTTTATTGGGATACCCTGTAGAACACGAATAAAATGCAAATGCAATTTCCCTGGAACGCACATTCTTTGGGTGTCATTTGTATGGGTGCGTTACCAAAAATCGACAAAAACAAGTTGTGTTTATTAGCTATTCCCAGCCGAGAAAATGTTTTTACAAAAAGCAGTCATTGAGGCTTACAATCATAATCCTCTTTGGAATTCTCAGCCAACTTTGGAAAGCTTTGAAAACGATAAGCAAGAACAGCATTGACTACAACAACATTTTAATCCCCGGCTTTTACTGCAGCGATAGGCGCCAAAGGACACAAATCCTTTTCCTACAGTTTGTCCCAAGTTCTTGGCTTAGAAAAAGGAGAGGGGAATATCTAAAAACGGTAAGACTTTACTTTACCCCCCCTCCCCCATAGCCGAAGGGTCTCAAAGTTTTCGGTATTTTCGCTTATTTTGTCGGGATTTTTGCTACGCCATTCGATAGAGCGTCGAAAAATATGCTCAGAGTTTCAATTTGAGCCTACAATAATGCAAAATAAAAAAGTTATAGCGAAAACAGTCCGGCTGGGGGGGGGGGGGGTAAAGTAAAGTGTAGCCCTAAAAACTGGCCGTGAATTCATAGGCGCACTGGTAGACGAATGCATCATATAGGTTATCCGGTGACGTATCCGAAGCCCTGGAAAAGTAAGGCTTACACGATGGTAAACCATGCGCTTATGTCGTTTGTATACCTTTAATTTCATTCAAGCGACGATACCCACCAAATGACGGTACAAGTGCGTGGATGGAGCGAAATATCGTTGATGTTGAAAGGGATCGGGTCGTAACATCTAATGCCGGGTGTCTAGGCGAACGTATTTAGTTGTTAGGGGTACTTTAGACGTGAAGTTTTTCACGTAATTACTTTCCTTAAAGGGGCACGGAAGTGAAAAATTTGCCGGTGCCGGAATTGAAAACACTGGTCAAATATCGTCCTTTTTTACCTTATCTCCAATCTCGTCATCGCAGTGCACCGTAGCGTACAAAACGGAAAATGTGCAGTTGTTGCATCCAATCAGGGTAATTTTCTGGAAATCGGCGGTTGGTATGTTTTGAATTGTCCTAGTTCAGGGTATCTCAATAAAAAATACCCCCCTCTAACTCGACGCAGAAGTATTGGATGAGAATGAGCGTTACACCATTCAAAAGCCCTTGAAACGGCCAGTTTGCAACAATCTTCAAAATCATGTTTTTGATTGAAATTCGCGATTTTACAGTGAATTTTGTAAGTTTGCCGGGTTTTTGGGTGAAATGTAAGCTGATTTGTAACATGGTAAGCAAGATTGTTAAAACCGGCCGTTTCAAGGGTTTTTGAATGTTGTAACTATTATTCCGATCCAATCCTTCTGCATAGAGTTAGTGGGGGGGGGTGTGTTTTACTTGGATACCTTGTAACATTCCGCTCAAACCTTACTTCTTTGGCGATAAACTGGTCGCGATGCAAAACATAAGACATGCTCCGCGGCGACAACACGAATTCCGTTCGGCCCTTGTCGGCCCCGGCCGCGAATTCGAGCCAAGCAGTAAAAAGCAGTGGTAGCAGCCAGTACATTTCAACAGATGTAAAAATTTGGGAGAGACTGTAGGAAAAGGGCTGCGTCCTTTGCACTTATCACTGCAGTAAAGGCTCGGGATAAAAAGCTGTTGTAGTCAACGCTGTTCTTGCTTATCATTTTCTAAAGCTTTCCAAGGTTGGCTGAGGGTAGGATTATCATTGTAAGCCCGGCTTACGGGCTGCTTTTTGCAGCAAACTTCGAATTTTCAGGTTTGGCATACTACATAGATTGTGATTGTGGTTTCCTTGGAGAGTGAAAGAGCGTGAAATTCCCTAGAAGAGAGTCCCTATTGTATACGCAAGCTTAAAGGGATGAGAAAAAGATGCCCGTCGATTTTTATTTCGATGTTATGGATTAGATCGATCCCATCGGCATATTTCCAAAATATTATTTATTCGGCACCGCAAAAATCTATGGACAAAACGAGACGAAAAATCAGTACAAATCATAGAGCAAAAAAGAGAGCGAAGAAGACAAATCGATAAAGAGCAATACGGTATTGATTGATTTACAGGGAGAACGAGGAGAGAAATATAGAAAGAAATAGAGACAGTCAGACTTGTGGCTTGATATTATTGGCCGCCGGGTTTTTCGTCGGTTTGAAGGGGACCTGGCGCGCCTCGTCGCTGTCGCCTAAAATGGAAAAAAAATCTACAAAAGTAAGTAAAAAACGCGCGAATTTTGTACGTAAAAATTGCTAAATTAGAAAACTTGAAAAAACCATTTCAAAACTAAAAAAATTTTAGTTTTTTGAAAATTGAAATTTGGATTGTCCAAAATTCAGAAAAATCCATTAAACGTAAAAACTGGTAAAAAAATAGAAAACCCACTATCCGGCAGAAGCCGAGCCGTGGTTGGTGAACGTCTCGGAGGCGGTGGAGGGGATGGTTGATGGCGCGTCATATAGCAGCGGATTGCTGGAATTCAAAGACAATTCCCGAATAAACTGTGCTAGCTGACCAATGGCAATGATGGCCACGACGACGACGAGGGCAATCAGGGAGCACGAGACGATCACCACGATGGCACCTTGGCGGAGATGGCGTACTAAATGGAGGAAAAATATGATTTTTGATTTGCTCCTGTCAGTTTCCCCCCTTTCTCTCTCCCTCTCTCTTTCTCCCTCTCTCTCTCTCGCTCTCTCCACCCACATTCACATGCCCCATCCGTCTTGACCATCTTCACGTCGTCGATCGAGTAACACTCCGAGCTGCACAGAATCTCGCCCACCCGAGGGCATTCTGAAATATGGAGATTTCCTTGTAGTCTGTAGCCTATTTTTTGGACTACAGTCCACAAACTACACTCTGTGGTCTAACAACGAGAAATTTTTGTAGTTTCTAGGCGATCGTCTGGACTACAAACTACAATTTTCCGCAAAGAACCAACTCTGAAATGAGCATGTGGTGCGCTTGGTTTTCGGGTTGTACTCAATCTTCGTGGGTCGATCGTATGCGATGCATGTATGATGGCCAGTGGGGGACCAACAGGCCACCGCATCCACCACATTGTCACAGTCCTTCGGCGAGTAGGCCAATTCTGGAAATGGAGGCATTAATCGATTGTATGGCAGACAATTTGACGTTTGGTGCGCCGAAACGGGCTACAAACCACAAGGTATGCAGGCTACGAACTACACTAAAACTACGCCAAAAACTGAAAAATGTGGCTTAAACTACAAACTGGACGGCAAACTACAAATTTTCCTAAAAACTACAAGTTGCCCGACCGGCTACAAGCTGCGAAAAAGTTTGAAAGTGCACGCCAAACCGGCAAAAATTGTTATAAACTACAGGGTCTTCAAGCTGGACGCCAGGCTACAAAACACGCGCCAGATTGCTCGGATAAGATTTTTTTTAGCTTAAAGCGATAAAATTCTAGCCAAAAAGGCAGAAAACCAATACCGTACCAGCCAATTGTGATGGATTGACCATATGACATCGATTGTTGTCGGCAACCCTTTGGATGTGGAAATACGGGATACAGATCATCTTATTCCCCTTCTCAGCCATCATACACGGATGGTGGTCGGGTGGGCAATCTGCAAAAAAGACAATTTAGAGGGCAAGGCGGTATTTTTCAAAGGGTTGTGACAGTCGACTGAACTTCCTAAAAAATCTGTGCTAGTTACCCACTAACATTGACCAGAATGCAGCTGGGTTCTTTAGGATTCGGGGGAGTATTCCCGGGGGAAACCAATTTTTTCCTGGTGGTCCCGGTTGGCCTAGTAATCAAATATAAAGTGTTTTCGAATTGTTTTTAGTAAGTTTTAACTATATTTAGAGCGGAATAACTTTCAGAAAAATTTAGAAAAATGTTTGAAAAAGTCGAAAATTTGGTCATTTGCGCCTATTTTCGACCTAATTATTAATTTTTACATTTTTTGGTTAAAATGTGTGTAGTTTTTATGCACAGGAATAGTTAAAAACAATTTAAAAACGCATCCGCAATTTATACAAAAATCTAGGCTTTCGCCGAAAAAATTTGTTCGGAATACCCCCGGTCTTGCAGCTGTCTCTAGGCCTTTAAAGGAGCTGGAAAGACTGGCAATCAATTTTAGGCCAAATCGAGGTATCCGGTCACTAAATGGATTTTGGATTTTTGTATGTCAAGGATTTTTAACTGTGGTTTTTAACGATTCTGCTCCGCCGGCGGCACGCAACGCGCACACTCGACAGCTTTGCCATCGCGTAATCGATTACGCTCTTTGGAGGTCCACCAAACCATGTGTACGCGTTGCATGTCGCGGGCGCAGCAAAAATCCCTAGGAAATACAAAGCCAAAAATTCATCCAAAAATCCAAAAAATAGTTTCCCTCTCATGATCCCGATAAACCAAACCTAGTGAAACGGACCTTTTAGCGTACAAATCCTGTTCTCGCCATCATAATCAATCAGCAGCCCGTCTCGATTATTGATCGTCTCCATCTCCACACAAATCGGCTCGTGTCGCCCGCAATTTAGCGCCGTAAACGGACAAGCTGGAATTAGGAAGTGCGAAGCTCGAAAAAGTCGAACTAGAATGTTCAGGTTCCAGAGTGCATTCGTCGCCATTAGTTACCATCGTCAGTCTTTCGTACGGTACACAATAACTCGGGGTGTTATTTGCCCCACGACACATGTGGTGCCCAGGGAAGTTGTAGCAGCCTAAAGAACCATAAAAATTAAATTACTGTGAATTTATTGGATTTTTTGGGCTACAAAAATAGGAAATTTTTAAGGGAATCTAAAACAAATATCGATTAGTGTTCATATAAATTTAAATCGATAAAATCGATATCAAGTCGCCTACTTAGACAAAAAAATAAGCATTTAAAAAGTATTTTTAATTTTTACTATCATACCTCGATGGATGCACTGCATGGTGACGTTGTCGAAATCGGCGAGTGAAGATTTTGGCGTACAAATTGGACTATTTACACCACAATCCAAGTGATGAGCAGACGAACAGTCGGAAAAACGGAATGTATGGTCTCTCTCCCTCTCTCACTCTCGCCCACTCTCTCTCTCTCACTCTCTCTCTCTCTTTGTCTATTCCTCTATCTCTCGCTATACCATAGCAAACCTCTAAAAAATAAACTGAAAACGAACTGCCCAAAACGAAGTCATCGGGCAAGTAACCGGACAGCATTTCAAATGGCACACATCTCTTCGTCGTATTCCCAAACGAAATCTCCGCTTTTCCTTCGGGGCAGCCTGAAAAAAAAGAAGTTGTAGCCGAAGCTGAAGCTTAGGCAAGCTAGCGAGGTTTTTTTAGGAATGGGTTTGGCAGGCCGATCTAGCAAAGGTCATTAGAGAAAATTCTAGAGCCGTACACATTCAGACATACTAGCCAACACCTTTGCGGAATAAGGAAAGGTGCTAATTTGGATATCAGATCGTAATACGTAAGTTGAGAAGCTAGCCGAGATCTTTTAAAATACAAGTTTCCAAAGTTACAAGCCGGTTTATTCATTTTTGGGGGTCCCTGAGGGCTAATTTGCATAAAGTGAAAAAATACAATTTCCTCATTCTTGCCAGTTGCACTCGCGTGTGTGGCCGGTGGGGGGAAGGGGTCCGCAGGGCCCGAGCTATCGGGAAGTCAAATTTTTCATGCAAAGGCCGTATTCCAGCGCCCAAGGCCCGCGAAGCGGGTTTTGGGCGCTGGTTTGCATATAAGATCAAATTCTTCGGTACAACGCAGACTAGCAGAGATCATTTAGGACATCCTTTTCCCATCAAATTTCGAAAAACTGACCAATCCCAGTGCATACGGTAGGATGTTCCTTGCTGAGCATCTCCTCGGGAATAGCTACCCATTGACCATTATAGCCAGGACACAGACGGGGAATGGCTGTCGAATACGGAGGAGAAGACGTCGTCGAATTCAGATCAATTGGGCTAGATGAGGGGTCATCAGGGTAGATTGTTGTCGCCCAGGAGAAGGGAATAGAGAGGAGCAGCACAAAAATAGGGAGCATTAGGAGGTGGAAGGGAATGAAGTCAAAATGGCTTTTGCTAGGTTTTAGGCCGAGAATGCGAATTTTGGACGCAAAGCAGGTTTCTTAATGCGAAAATTAATTCTTTAGAAATATTCATAGCTAAAAAGCTAGCGGGCCGTTGCCTAATATTTGCTGCCAACTTACCCTGTCTAATCAATCGCAATCCTGCGAATTAGTGACTTGGAAATTGTAATATTTTCTGTTTATCGGGTTTTTAAATCCCATAATCTGATTTAATTCGATTCAGTTATTTTTTCTTTGTTTATTTTGAAGTCCTTTTGTTTTTCATTCTTGTTAATATTTTGTTGTTTAATTATTCCAGTGTATTTTCAAAGTCTTTTTGGGGTTTTCGATTTTTATTCGGATCAACAAGTGTTCTAAATCGTATGTACCAAAAAGAAGTGGAGAGTAAGCGTATGGGGGTGTCGGTGGGTCAGATCACATGGATTTCGGGGAAGAACTGGTATAATTTAAACCAAGACACGGAATACAAAATACAACGCGAAACGTACAAAAATGTACAATTTTATGCAAAGAGGGCCAGTTTTTGGTGTTTGTAGCAGAGATTTTTGGCTACAAACTTTTCAGTTTGTAGTCTGGGTGCCAGTTTAGACAATAGACAGTTTTTCTGGGCTCCAGACTACAAAATCCGGCGATTTTTGAGGGTTAGAAAACCGCGGGCTAGACCCGCAGAGAAAACAAGGAACGGAGCAGAGACTATTTGCGGAAATTTCGTAAAGAATTTCGTCTACAATCAGAGACTAGAGCGGGGCAGACGAAGAGCACATTTTAAACACGCCAGAAAATTCAGAACAAGATCGAGAAAAACGCAAAAATGACAATTTGCCAGCATGCAGCTCGCGAGCGCCCAAATTTTCACCCGTTTTTAGCCTCTAAAATTTTTGTCTAATAACTTTTTTACCTGTAGTCCACTCTAGACAACAATCTGGACTACAGACTACAGAATCAAGAGGAATTCGAATCGAGATTACCGGAATTCTATGGATTGAGCGACCCGTTTTTGACAAATTTCTAGACCCCAAACAAATTCGAAAATTCGAAAAAGTCCTAAATTTTTCCAATTTCTTAGAATCGAATGGCGACTCGACGAGCTGGGCTGCAAATTGTTAGAACGCAGAAAGATACAGAAAAATCAAGGGGAAAGGGGGTGTGGCCAAAGTACGGGGCAATACTTTTTGAATACAGTAGTGTGCAAACGGGATGAAATACAGAATGGAAAAAGCGTTTTCAAGCCCAGAAAAGACTAAAAATGCAATTTCCGATTCCGGCGTCGATTAATCGGCCTTTTTCATCATTTTGTAGGGGAACACGGGCTTGCGGCAACCGCGGCACGTCATGCTCTGAAATTATAAAAATGTTTATATTGTTTTTCATATGAATTAATTTTTTTAAACTTGTCAGCTTGTCAGTTTAGTTATCGAAATTATTTTTGTATTTTTAAACTTTAGAAAAATTTTGATATTTTAAAAATATCAAAAAATTTTGTCTATCTGGGAAATTTTTTATTATTTTTGTATTTTGATACTTTTAAAATTGGATTGAATTAATTACCTGGTTCCTCCTGGCATCAGCCTTCCACTTCCTTCCACAGTCATCACATGCAAAGAATCCAGTCGAAGGCCTATCCCCCTGATAGGGTGTCTTCTCCATCCTTGGGTCTTTCGTCGGACAGAATTTGATCCAATGGCCCTTCTGGTTGCATCGATGGCACACATAGTCAGTTGGCACATTTGTGCGCATCTTGCTCAGTTCGCCAAGAATCTGAAAAATGTGATTTAATTTTGGCCAGTTTTTAATCCATGACCCCAAAATTTCCATAAACTGCCTTCAATGGTCCTTTAAACACGCTAAAATTTCCATTTTCCTGATGCAAACTACAAACTGCCCTACAGTACGCACCCATACGCAAGAATTTTAGGCACAACGCTATTCCCGGATTTTAATGAATTTCTTGGCGTAATCGAATGTCAAAATCGCTCAAAACTGCTATTAAAAACCCCTTCTCAGCTATAAATTTGGTCGGGAAATTACATGAACTTGTAGTCTGTACTCCAGCTTGGCAATTCCAAATCCCAAAAATTTAAAAACCGATTAGTTACCGTACCTGTTGCTCAATGTCCTCTTCCGAGATTTGACGGTTGAATGCCGGCTGCACCTGTTGCTGTTGTGGCTGGGCATTTTGCATCGCCATTTGCATGTTGTTGTAGTTGTGCATATTCCGGATATTCTGCGGGGTGAGCATCATTGGGGGAGTGGCACGAGGGGTCGAGTTATTCAGAGGAGAAGCCGTCGAGAATGGGGGCCAATTGGGGTATCCCATCTGGGATGGAGGGGAGACGCTTTGGTGTTGTTGCTGATGTTGTTGCGGCCACGGGGTGTTCAGCACCTTTTGCATGTTCTGAAAAAGGTGGAATTAAATACCGTAATCCATTTGGCAATTTTGAAAAAGCGCACAAACCGAATTTTCGACAAAAAAATTATTTTTCGTAATATTTGCCCCTTTTACGTGAAAAATCTGGTGAATTCTTTGTTTCCGCCTTGTTAGTCCTTTTAAAATTTAAACTGACTTACCATGGGCTGGAAATAGTTGTGATTTGGCGGCGATTCGGGCGGGGTGTAGATGCTCGACGAGTGCGGGACGATCGGGCGGGCCGGGGTGCTAAAAATCCATTTTTAGATGATTTTTACCATTTTAAAATTGCTAACTAGCATTAGTATACCGAAAATGCCCCAAAATACTAAAAAAAAACTAGCTTACCTCGGATGCTTGAACGGCGAATTGTTGTTGGTTGGTTTCAGCGATCGAATGCTCGCATCAGAAGCATCGGAAGCGGTGCGCGGACGGGTTCCGATCGCTCCAAACTACAAAAGGAATGGATTACGGTATCGAGTGGGCGGCAGATAGACAAACTGTCTGGCAGATAAACAGAAAAATGCCTAACCCAAAAAAAGTTGAAAATCACCATCCCGAAAACTGTCTGTTAAAACCGATTAAGCGACAGACAGGCAGACAAATCGACAGTTTAGCGGACAGACAGACTAACTGGCCGACAAACTGTCTGACCGACAATGCAAAAATCGATATTGAATCGATATTGACCTACCGGATTGGGGCTCCAGGCGGCCGAAGTAGACGGATCAGCATAGGGGAGCAGCTTGCCGAGCATACCGACGATATCGTCGCAGCCCATGGTGTCGGAGTTGTTGAGGGGCGGAATTTTTGACGCTGGAATCTAATTGGATAAGTTAGAACAATTTAAAAAAGAACCATAAAATGGAAGATTCGAAAAAAATCACGAAAATCGAGGAAAAATCGATAAAATTTGGGTTTTGAATAAGTAAAGTTCAATATAAAATTTTTAGCTTTAGAATATAAGCAAACTGGCTATCATTTAAATTAAATCGAAAACCAACAAGCTATAAAAATCAATAGAATTTCGGAATTCGGAGGATTGAGTTTTCGAAAATCAGCTCTCCAGCTGGTATTATAGCCGAAATGGCCTCCAACAGGTCGAATCGTGTCATCTGGCTAGGGGTGGAGCCAATGAATGTATTGCACAAGATGGGGAGGGAAGGTGTGTTCCCCCTATTTTCGAAACTATGACGAAAGAGCGCCAAATAGGAGGCGGAGGAGGGCCATGCTTTGCCCAAGCCATTCCTGATAAGAAAACAAGAAAACACGAACGGCTGACTAAGGGAGCTGGAATTTGAGATTTCAATTTTTTGCTAGACAGTTCGAATTCCTGTGGGGGTACGGTAGCGAGAGGGGTGGTGGAAATACGAAATAGGGCGTGTGAGTACGGTAGCGCCTATAGCTCTATTACAAAAAACGTTAGAATTCCGCTTTTTTCGAAAATTGTAGCATACCTTTCGGCTATCTGACATACAGTATGCTAATTAAGCCTTTAAAGAAACCATAAAATTGTTTTTTAAATTAAAGGTCTATAAAAATCGAAAGACACAAAATTTTTGAAAATTGAGGAATTTTTCGAGTGCAAACGGCCGACTCCCAATGGTTCTTGCGATGGAAAAGCATAGATTGAAGAGCAGACAGCAAGTTCTACACCACCACCCCCCTAAAAGAGACTATTCCATTCAGGAAGTTCCTTCCCCTTTTTAGAGGACGGGTGGAGGGCAAAGCGTGAGAAAGTTCTGATTGGCTTCAATAACGCACACACAGCATTGCAGCAGATGGCTCCGGCTTTTGGAGACCGGAGAAGAAAGGAAGAGGAAAGTGTTTCTTTTAAAGAAAGTGTGATAGTAACCTTTAAAACGTCAAAAAGTCCTGAAATATCTCGAAAATCGCGAATTTTTACCAAAATCTGGCTTCAAAAAAATTGAATTACTGTACTTCCCATATTTTTGTATTGAAAACTCTTAACTGCCAGCCAGCTGGCACACCCCGTTTTAGAAAATTCAGAAAGATCGATCCGGAACGGAATTCCGGGTATGCAAATGAGGCTTGAGGGACGAAACCACGGAAACCAGTAGCATTAAAAGTACACACCATGTAATCATCCATTTCTACGAGAAAAGTATCGTAATCTATTAACTGGCATCCAGCTGACGCATTCTCGTTCAAAAATCCAAAAACCACCCTCAGTCTGGAATTCCCGGTATGCAAATGAGCGGCGATTTTGGGTGTGTCTAGCTAGAGGGGGGCAGAGTGGGAGGTCTGCACGGGGCAAAAACGGGAAAATGGTCTTGTATGGAATTGGAAGGAGGGAGAAGGGCGGATGGAATGAGTCA